CCGTAAAACGTTAAGTTCAACCAATAGCAAACTTGGAAAGATTTCTTCTCATTTACAACAGTTCAACGTAGTTAAATGCAGTGTACTGTTTTACTAAACAGTAAGTATGCTTCTTTTTTATAATTTATTTTTTATAATTTATTGAAATGCATATTTAATATTAATATCAAATTCAGATATATGGACATTAGAATTATCGATACTTGGATAACAAAGAATGTTTCATAATGTTGAGAAATGCGTCGTTATATTTAACTGACGTGTTGTATAAATATTTTTTTTTCAATTGTAATTAGAAAAAATTATCTCAGCAAAAAATCTAAGTTACTTGTATCTGAAGAAAAAAGAATTTTCAAATGATATGAAGACTCAAGATATAAAAATTTGAAGTATTAAAGGCCAATAGGAGGCAATGCTGCTTGTTGTTTGTGTCAAAATGGAACATTTTCATAATACATTATTATAAAATAATGTTATGCTAAGAAATATACAAACATTTCAATCGTCGTTTGATTCTTTTTAATGTTAATAACACTGAAACGTTTGCATATTTCTTAGCATAACATTATTTTATAATAATGTATTATGAAAATGTTCCATTTTGACACAAACAAGCAGCGTTGGTTCCTATTGGCCTTTAACACTTCAAGAAAAGAATTAAGAAGAAAAATTATAAAGAAATAGTTTTGTACATGTATAAATAAAATTTTTTCAGGTTATTTGTTAAAGGAAAAAATTGTACGTGGTTGTTTAAAAAAAATAATCGAAAAAAATTTGCCCCGGGGTCGAACCCTCGTTAACGATTAAAGACTTATACACTACATACTATGCTACTAAGGCTTGTACTGCTTTAATGTTATTTATCAACTTAAAGCCATCACACACAAAATTCCGTAAAGACGTAAGGACGTAAGACTGAAACGTTTGCATATTTCTTAGCATAACATTATTTTATAATAATGTATTATGAAAATGTTCCATTTTGACACAAACAAGCAGCGTTGGTTCCTATTGGCCTTTAACACTTCAAGAAAAGAATTAAGAAGAAAAATTATAAAGAAATAGTTTTGTACATGTATAAATAAAATTTTTTCAGGTTATTTGTTAAAGGAAAAAATTGTACGTGGTTGTTTAAAAAAAATAATCGAAAAAAATTTGCCCCGGGGTCGAACCCTCGTTAACGATTAAAGACTTATACACTACATACTATGCTACTAAGGCTTGTACTGCTTTAATGTTATTTATCAACTTAAAGCCATCACACACAAAATTCCGTAAAGACGTAAGGACGTAAGACTGAAACGTTTGCATATTTCTTAGCATAACATTATTTTATAATAATGTATTATGAAAATGTTCCATTTTGACACAAACAAGCAGCGTTGGTTCCTATTGGCCTTTAACACTTCAAGAAAAGAATTAAGAAGAAAAATTATAAAGAAATAATTTTGTACATGTATAAATAAAATTTTTTCAGGTTATTTGTTAAAGGAAAAAATTGTACGTGGTTATTTAAAAAAAACAATCGAAAAAAATTTGCCCCGGGGATCGAACCCTCGTTAACGATTATAGACTTATACCTTACATACTATGCTACCGAGTCTTGTACTGCTTTGATGTTATTTACCAATTTAAGGCCATCACACACAAAATAAGGACGTAAGACGTAAACTGAAGACGTAAAACGTAAAGTCCATGACATACAGAATAATAACAAAAAGGCAGGATATAAGATTCAGCTATGAATCCGGCCCATAGAACATTGATTTATGTTATTGACTCATAAACATACTTTATTTTTTTGCCACTCCTTAAATCCAATTCTCTTTGACGTTTTTCACATATAACCTAACCTACAACCTAGAACCAGATTTTACAATAAAATGTATATTCTGTGCTGATTTGTGATTGGTTGTCTGTAAGACGTAGCCATAAAAATTTCAGTCTTACGGTATTTCTCGACTTACGTTTTATGTCTTATGGACAAAATTGAAGGGGATACGGAAAGCCAAATACTCGATTGGGATTGGTCGATTTCCTTACGCTACATCTTACGTCCTTACGGAATTTAGTGTGTGATGGCCTTTAACCCGTAACAGGTACCAGGCCATTTTAATCAAGCTACGGGTACCATAGGGTCCGGTGGACCCCAATAAATTTTTGCCATTTTTAACATGATAATAAAAGGTAGGAAGAAAAACGCTTTATAGTTCGAAAATAATAATTTACTAGTATTATATTATAACTAAACATTTATAATAACAACTCAATTTTTCAGTACTCTAAAAAAAAACATAAACTGAATATAAAATGAATACAATGTGGACAGTGTCGAAATAAAATACACTGAAAGACAAATAATCGGAGAAAAAAAATGCATGTTTTAATCTAAGTCCACAGGTCATATATTATATAAAAAACATAAACAGGTATTGTTAAATTAAACATAACATTAAAATCTAGAGGGTTTTTAGATGCAATCGTTACAGATGGTGCTTGCACATTTGGTACATACTGATTTATTGCATCTTACATATACTACTTTGGTCTTTATATCTTTATCTCTATGACATTTATTGCATCTTACTCTGGATGGCAAAATAATGTTAGACCTTTCAATCTCTTCAATTTTTAAAATAGATGAAATTATTAAACGCAATGGCTTATGAATATATTGAGACGTCTCTTAAGTTCAGATTCTACTAACTGAAAGGCAAGAGCTTTTACTTTTTTGCGTGAAGAATGAGTCATATATTGAGCTGAAATTTAAAAAAATTATTTTCATAAAAGTTACGTTAACGGTACCATGGAGTCACTGTGACCCCAGACAAAAAACAAATCCATATAATTCATAGCTACTTACAAATAACTTGACGATCTTTTCTTCTGTCATACTGAAAACTGCTACTTGAAAGATACTGAAGATATCAATGCCACACAGTGGATAGTTTGGGAATTATAATAAAATTAGTTGGGGTACCTAGGACCCCATGGTTACGGGTTAAGCTTAATTAATTATTATTTATATTAAGTTTTAAGTCTTAAGCCGTAAGAAATTAACTAATATCACAGTCGATTAATTTCCTCATATTTGATTGTGATTGGTTAATTTGCCCTTGTGCACAACCTTGCTTTAAAACGTAAGCCGTAAAAAATTGACCAACCATAGTTGATTTTTACTGTGGTTGGTCAATTTCTTACGGCTATTTCTTAAAGCAAGTAGCCTTGTAGACAAGGGCTTTTTTAGCAATTTAAGGTTTAATGCTTAAGTCTTATGACTTAAGTTTTCATTATAGATAGTGCTTTAAGCGATAACTGCAATTTTTTTGTTAGAACTACCAACAAATATGGTTAGAGCCAAAAATAACTATAATTTTAGCTAGATTAACTATTAACTATTTATTAACTATTTTTTAAATAGTTTTAAAAATACCGCTTTTAAAAATACCGCTAGTCCGATTTTTAATTTGTCAACGCCTTATTTTCGTTTTTTGTTCTTCAGACTTTTTTTATTGCTGTTGTACCGAATCAAAAATTAAAAATTCTTCTATTGATGCACGGTTTTACTGTACTGTACAACACATACAACTCCTACTGTTTACCTCGGCAGCTCCTTCTCTCGTTTTAAATCTCGAAATCTTATAGAAACTTTAATAATAAAAGATGGTAAAAACTGATTATAAAGGAGGAAAGTTTGTTGCCTTATTTATCCATTAAACTCTTACCTCCATATTGATTATTACATTTTTGCTTATCGTACATGTTCTATCTGTAGTTAAGTGGGTAAATTACTTTTCCAGATTAGAAAAACAATAATACCTACGGGAACTTATTTAAAAAAAATTACTAAATGAGTATGTTGAATTTTACATATGTAATTAAACGATACATTTATATTTAAACAAAAAATTTATTTCTGCAAAAACGATGTTACAGCATTCTTGGTCGCTCTGGTTTGCATGATTTACGTTGGCATAATCGAAACAAGAAAATGGAAAAAATTTCTTGTAAAACAGTGTTGTAGTTATCAACTCTTGGACTAAAATATTTATTTTCTTTTTAATTTTTTATTTATAAAATAAAAATAACGCAAATTTTAATAGAAAATTTTAATTTCTTCTTTAAAATAAGCAGAGAAATCCTGTTGTCTGAAAATAAAAATTCTGGAGGCTATAATTACAAAAGTTTTATAAAAAATATTTCTTCACTATTTTATTAAAAATGTTTTTTCAATTTTTGATTATAATTTTATATATATATATATATATATATATATATATAATACAAACATATATATAATATATATACAATACAATATATATATATAATATATACAATATATACAATATATATAATATAATATATATACAATATATATAATATATATATAATACAAACTATTAATTTAGAAGTTTTCTTTAAATTAATTCCCAAATATTGTTACTCTTTTGGCCTGAAAAAGTAATTTGCCTCCTTAAGTAAGTTATATTATCATTTAATTTAATTATTAATTATTAATTATTTTTATTATTTATTAATTATTTAATTTGCTCTTTGAAATTGAGAACAAAACTCAGATATTAATAGAATAATCGATATAATTGAATATTAAGTAACTCTATAGCCTGTGTAGAATATTATATCTCGAGAGTTCTCATTAATTCCTTAAATTTGACAAAATCTGCAGGGTTAATGCAGAAGCAAAACTTCGGCTTGAGTCTGTGGCTTTAGTTTTTTTTCTCACGAAGGAAATATACATGTATCGATCTGTTCCAAGTACTAGCTTGCTAAGATGAACTGATATCGCTCTCGTAATATCCAATTTACTCTATATTCATGAGACGCGGATACAAAAGGATGTGATTTTATACCGCAATCTCTCCGTTTTTACCGTGACATCTAATATTGTTTTGTCGCGAAAAACAATATCGTCGAGTGCCGCGAGAACGCAAAACCATTCGCGATGAATTGAGAGGAATTTCTATTTTCATTTCACATAGGGTGCGCAGAAAATATCATTGCCGTACTCGGCGAACAAGACCATGACTATCCGTCAGATCCTCAGGTAATTATCTCTCTTTGTGAGCCGAGCCGAGTAATAGGAAGCGCTAATTGAATACACGAGTCGCTATTTATACTTTTCAGCAACTTCTTCGGTCTCGAGAAGCTCGACAAGGCGCCGCGCGAAGTTTTCTCGCCCGAACTGCAAAAGGTGAGCTCCACAAACGCTCTGTCTAATTTTATACCGAGCAAAATAACATCGTCGTGAAGTGTGCGCGCCTCGTGGACTAACCCGATGATCCTTCCGCAGGATTTGTTACTGCTCGAGGAGCAAGAGGGCTCGGTGAACTTCAAGTTCGGTGTCATCTACGCGAAAGAAGGTCAGATCACCGACGACGAGATGTTGTCGAACGGTAAGACGACTTATATATATCACGACTATACAGCACGAAGAAAACAAAAGACAGTCGGAGCGGGGCGGGGGGCGGGAAATTAAGTGATAACGGATAACGCTATCGATCACTGAGGTCGCTCCTCATTTCTCTCGCAGAAAGGGGCAGCCCCGGCTTCGAGAGCTTTCTGGAGATCTTGGGCGAGAGGATACGGCTCAAAGGTTGGGACAAATACAGGGGTGGCTTGGACGTGAAGGGTACGTTAATAATATGGATATTGGCGGCGCGCAAACTTGAAGCCCGCAATCAGGAGAAGCGACGAAGGATCGGGATCGTTGCACAAAACGAGTTCGCAAATTACCCGACTCTTTCGACGAACAAATTTTTTTCGCCGCAAGATTCGCGAACTTTCAAAACTTCTGCTTATAACGACGACGACGCTGCAAAAATAAAACGAGTGAACGCAATATACTACGAATAATAGATAGATCAAAGTACAAGTAAGTACCAGTGCCTGGATACGTACCTAATCGTGGACATTCTTTTATTGTTTTGATCTTTAAATAAATATAATTATTCGTTTTTAAATAAATATAATTATTAATTTTAAATATAACTATTCGAATAATTTTAAATATAATTGTTTTGATCTTTAAATAAATATAATTATTCGTTTTTAAATAAATATAATTATTAATTTTAAATATAACTATTCGAATAATTTTAAATATAATTGTTTTGATCTTTAAATAAATATAATTATTCGTTTTTAAATAAATATAATTATTAATTTTAAATATAAATATTCGAATTTTCAACCTAGAATGTATACGCATATATTCAATATATGTATATATAATTTTTATAAGTTTAAATATTCGTATAAAGACCAAAACAATAAGAATGTTTAGAGCTAGATACGTGTCCAAGCATTGCTACTTTTGCCTTGTACACAAGGAAAAGAATGTTGTTGAATCATCAGAATTGTTCTATTGCGCGCCACAATTGGAATAAAAGTTCTTGATTTAAAAGCAATATTATTGAAAGTGATACTACACGGAAAAGAAAGTACACATAACATGGTACACATAACAAGTACATATAATATGATACACATAACCAGAAGTTTAGAAGAATTTAGTTGCAAGCAGCCTTGCAAGTTACCCTTACTCTACACGGAAAAAATACTGAAAATATTACTTGCCTAGATACGAGGTTTGATTAAAAAATACGCGGAATTTTCGTTTTTCTCAAAAAATCTTTATTTATTCATCGATATTAATTTTGTCCCCTTCAAAGTACTCCCCATCAGATATAATACATTTGTGCCAGCACTTTTTCCAAACTTCGAAGCACTTCTGGAACGCAATTTTCGGTATGACGTTTAGCTCCTTCAGCGATTCTGTCTTTATCTTTGGCAAAACGTCGTCCTTTCATGGTTCTTTTCAGCTTCGGGAATAGGAAGAAGTCACAAGGGGCCATGTCCGGCGAAGGGCTGAGGTTGAGGCATCACAGTGTTGTTTTTGGCCAAAAATTCACTAACAAAATTCAACAATTTCGGAACAAATTTTGCTGCCACACGTTTCATGCCCAAAACATCCGAAAAAATTGCTTGGCATGAGCCAAATGATATGCCAACATTATCAGCAACTTCTCTGATAGTGATTCGGCGATTGTCCATAATCATTTTCTTCACTTTTTCGACGTTGTCATCGATTGTTGATGTGCTGGGGCGTCCAGGGCGCTCGTCATCTTCGATGTTTTCGGCTCTCTTGGAAACGTTTATACCACTTGTAAACGCTTGTTTTATTCATAGAAGATTCGCTAAAAAGCAATTCAACATTTCCAATGCGGTGCTGCACTTTATTCCATTCTTAAAGCAAAATTTAATGCAAATTCTTTGTTCCATTTTTTTCACAAGTTAAAAATCGCCGAGCATACCAAAACACGTGTAATCTTTTCGACAGCCAACAATAAAGTAAGCATCCAATATGGCTACCAATGTCAAGATACGCCAAGGACAAGTGTGCTAACACAACAACAAAAAATTGTAACAATTGGACTTATACAGCTCGCGAAATTAAAAAAATTTTTTTTTATCAAACCTCGTATGATTGCCGTAATAAAATATTAATGTTATTTTTCGTCCATATAAAATAAATGGTAACTATAATACTCTAGAAGTGATACAATGGTCTTCTTTACCGCCTGTCTATACATATTTGAGCGGTACTCTTAGTAATGCAAGGCGTAACCAAATCCTATGGATCTCTCAACTATATTTGCTCTACATACTATAACAGAGAGACGGCGATAACATTCCTTTGATTAAGGCAACTAAATATCTGAGGATATACATTACATATCATAAAACATGTGGTTGTAAGAATTGTATAGATGAGCGTATAATAACAGCAACATTTAATGTCATATCTATTTAACTTGAAATCGCATAAATTTTCTCCTTAATCATAGAAATTCTAATCATAGAATATGTAGATATACAATCATAGTAGTTTTCTCCATATAATCTTTATCTTTTTATGATAGTAATGCGTATGGGGGAGGGAGGAGTTGATATAATTCAGTTACTTTGATATATCAATTATATCAATGTATTGATATAATCAAATAATCATTGATAGATCATTAATAGATTATCAATAGATTGTCAATAGATGGTCGATAATTGCATGTGATCTGATTCTGGCAATCAGAAATCGGTTAGAGTGACATTTACTATGGAGACACTCTGGTTGAAACAACCAGATGTTGTCACTGCTTCAACGCCAGTAATTTAACAATTGTTTCGTAGTTGCAGCGATCACATAATTAGTTTATCCATATTTCACTATTGAATCTGTTTGGCAAAAATAGATTTTTGTATGGGCCAACTATATTGTTTTTTATGTAGAGTTGTTAAAGTAATGTGTGATGTATTTGTTAATAACTCGAGTATTTATATCGATAACATTGCTACTGAATTAAAAAGAATTAGTCGCTTCTGTTAATCAATTCTATTGATTCAATTCTATTGATTCAACTTTGTTTTTTCTGTATACATGTAAAGAGAAAAATATGTGACTTGAGTTGCTATCCTAGATAATTTATAATCGTAGAACGACAACTTCCGATAATTTAGTTTTGTGCAGTTTTCCCTGATTTTCCATGATATCCACAAGAAACTTTAAATTTTAGACGACCTTGGGAAGCATACTTTCACACTTTCGTGTCTCCACTCGCGCGTTTTGCCATTTTTCAGGTGATATGACAGGTAAGGAGAGTTACTACACGGTTTACGCGGGTCACGAAGTGATGTATCACGTTAGCACGATGCTGCCGTACTCGAAGGACAATCCACAGCAGTTGGAGAGGAAGAGACACATCGGCAACGACATCGTCAATATCATTTACACGGACGACCCGGCGGCAGTGGATATGTTCAATCCCAACTGTATAAGAAGCCAATTTACCCGTGAGTTGACACAGCGATATCGCTTTTCCACATTGAAATCTGACGTAAACGAGAACCGAAGAATATAATACGATAAGGTGGGATAAGGTCGCGAACCTTGTCCATTGCTGTTTACATAAAGATTACACGAGCAGCAGAATCGATGCTGAAATACCACACAGTGATCCTCATTTCTCTTTTGTTTTTTTTTCCTTCCTCGACCTACACCTGCAGATCGTCTTTGTATTCTCGTAAGCTTCAGTCGATGTATTATCTCATGCACCTATCTCTATTTATGTATATCCTTGGTAGAAATTTAATACAAATTTCGAGCAATTATTGAACAGTTAACTTTTGTCAACTAAACTTCAGTAACTGAACAGTAACTGAAGAATAAAATTACTTGAGATCTCAATCAAAATACAACGTTTCGTTACTGCGTACGAAAGATGCGCAAAATCTGAAGCTATTTACTGAACGAAAACTGGACAAAAACCAATTCAATTTATTAATAATTACGTCTGCTGCTCATAAAATGGACAGATTCGCTTTAGTGATATTCCATTTTCTATATCTGCTTTCTAATTGAACAATTTTAATACTGATAAAAGTCATAACGCAAGAAATCTTTGGTGCGTAATATATATTTTCATGTTTTTTGCCTGATATGATATCGTTCGCAACCATCACATGGCATATGTTCTTTTATCGATTCTTGTAGTTATATTATTTGTATTATCAGGTTCGGGGTCTAAGCTATGATAACAGTCTTTATTTGTATCATTATTATCAGAACAATCTAATGTAATCCTACCGTAATGAAATTCTGTATTATTAATATGTAACTTCATATATATTACTAATATATAACTCCATTTCTCTTTTGTTCACTTTCAATTATAATTTTAGTTGTTATTTCTATCACGAGACTTAATATTGTCAAATGTTTGATTTTCTTCCATTTTTTCTTATTCTATACTTTTTTCTACTAGTTTATTCATTTCTCATGCAATTTATATATATACATATTTGCTCCTTTTCAACAATATAAATAAATAAGTTTTTAATTTATTCACGACACACAGATATTATAATACGTGCACATTATAAAATCGAATTATTAACATTATCGATATTATTTCTTGGAAAGAATTGGTTGTACAGTAAACTGTTTCAACTCTATAAAGTTCTATGAAGTTCTTGAAGCTCTGTGAAGCTCTATGAAGCTCTCCAATTCCCACGCAACATTTTTCAACTAATGAGAATGCATTAATATTAGACAATTTATACCTGAGCAGATATCTATGCAAACTGCATTTATTTTCTAGCAGAGATTTAAATGATCCATAATACATAATTTTCACAGCTTTTAATGGCCTGTTCCGAAATGATATTCACGTTTAAAGTAGGGGAGATTAGAACTAGATTTTAGAATTTATATATTTTAGAATAATGATTTAAAATTTCAAAGTTGCGCGCAACTTTTCAGGTAACTAATTTTTCTGACTGTATAAATATGATAGAAGCAATTTTCTTCTATGTACTAATGCCCGCTACGACCCTCTTAATTTTGTTTTGTAACAATCAAAATACGAATATGCAGCAACATAGCTTGCCCTAGTACCGGGTTTACTTGCCCAGTAGCGCAGAGTAAGAAGGCTACGTTATAAAATATGTATCCTGATTAATAGTTCCAGAGTCTCCACGAAAGGTCTCCACAACCTTCCTGTCGCCCTTTAATTATGAGCCACCTTTATCTCGTCCACCCATGTATTCTATTTCAATCGCTTGATGAATGAAAATTTAATTTATTACCAGAATATTATACAAGAAATCATACAAGAGATTACATTATAACTAGTAATACATCGCTTAATTTTATTCAGTCTATTTTTAAAAAGAATATTTTAATATATTATTTCGAGAGGCTCGAAAATTTAGTTTTTTCTATTTCTTACCTGTAACATTATTCCTTACCTGTAACATTTTATTTTAATGAAAGTCAGAGAAACGTATTTATGTTCTAAAAGGACCATTTTGCGATTTTGTGTACCCATTATTCCTCTCAAGATAAATACTAAAACAAGCACATGAGTAACATACTCTTGGGACTATATCGCTCGATCTCCCCTACTTCTTTCGCAATATATCGTCTTTGGCGCGTGATCAATAATCGGAAATTAATTTTGAGCGAGATGCGAAATTCAACGCGAGAGAAATCGTCTGAAATCAAGTGTGAAGATATCGCTAGTTGAACGTCGATCTATCTCCCATTGCTTAGACGTGTTCGCCGTGATAACGACCGAGGCGGATGGCAAGGGATGGCGGGTTGCTATTTATTGCGACGAGACAGTGCCCCTGTTCGGGCCGAGCCTACCCTGCCCGCCAATTTTCGAGGACCCGTATAATCTCCGGGAGTTTCTCCTCGTTAAGCTGATCAATGGCGAGAAAGCCACCTTCGACACTCCAACGTTCTCCAGGAAGCGGGAGAGGACTCTCGACGCCCTGTTGCGAGATATGTACCAGGAGCACTCGCAGGAGAGCAAGAGCAACGTAAGCTACTTTGCGACCTTGCATGCCTTCCATTTAGTCGCATGTACTCCCCACACCCTCATCCCCGTTCGATCAATCTCTCTCATTCATAATACTCGACCGAAACAACGAAACAGCTTGGTTATCGCGATCGAGTGTCCAGCAAGCACAATTACACCGCTTCGCGGAAACGAAACATCGAGATAAAAGGGAAAAAATATTTTAACACGTTCGCTATCGCGCCTAAATTAAAAGTCGCTCATTATAGCCTACGTTATATTTTTAGTAACTACGTAGACGTAGTGCATGTTTGCTTATGCACACATAAAATGTATTAAATAAGCAATTTGAATATTTTACATAAAGCAATTTCACACATGAGTGATGCTGGTAACGAACATGTTCACCCTAGATTGCCAATGTTAGCCATTTTGACTTACACTTTGAACAACAATTTAATTTAAAAAATATTTGCAATTGATATTACTTTATCTTCCTTCTGTAGACAAAAATGGTGGAAAATGCTAAAGCAGATTATAAGTGAAAGACAATTAAGAGGATCAAAACAACTTCACATTGGTAATAACGGACTACACACAGAAATATCTCATTCCATTTCTAAATGAAGAGATTACTCAGTTCACTTTTCTTCTTTTAAGAAATAATTATCTTCAATAAATAATATTTCTTTGATAGTAGTTTTAAAATATGTACTCGTCACAAATTTTAGAAAAATTCGTTATCGTCTGCTCACAAATAGAATTAATTTTTTTACAAGAATATTACAAATATCGAAGAAAAAATCGCTTCGACTCTGTGCAGTAAACAAACTAAAGTTTTATTTAAATTAATCATTGAAATGCTAAACTTACTCTCTAAATTTCTTGGAGTGAAATTTTACTCGAGAAGTAAAATGACAGTCGAGTTACTTAAATTGAGTTATTTTTCACTCCTATAGAGTGAATTCTCCACTTTGAATCGTTGGGTGAATATTTTCACTCGAAATTGAAAAGTGAATTTGATGCATTCCACCGCCAAAGAAACATATTCATTTCAATCGATTGAAACATCCGCTCAAATGAGGTCAGAATCTATTCTAATCTTGAGTGAAATATTCACTCTTGCGATTTCGAATAAGAGTATGTTCACTAACACTTTAAATAAAAACACTGTTATTTTTCACTGAAGGAAATTTAAAGTACACTAGAATTCAGAATGTATTTTGAATCAATTTGATGCTCATAATAAACTTATGATAGAGAGAGAGAAAGAGATTTGCAGACATATAAATTTATAAAATATTTTAAACATAATTCCATAAATGCAGTATGTATTTTTGTGTGTGCATCGGCATAAATAATCTAAGATTGACAAAAAACCTGATAAAACTTGGAAAACTCTCTCGTAATATTGAAACGTGATTGCACTCGTCAGATGTACTCGTCGGGAATAAGTCTGAGGGAAAGATTGAGAGCTATGCTATATAATTATAAGATCAACACGGCTAATTTCGTGACAGAGCATGCTAAATCGCCGGGCACTCTCGGACGTTGTCGAGGCACCGGGACGGCGACGAGAAGAGACGCGCGCCGTGGAGATGGTGCGAGTCGGACAAGCCTTGAAGCTGGAGGCTATCATGCGTGGTCTCGCGCCTACCTCCCTCGCCACGGTCGGTCCTTTGAAGCCGCGGCCATGGGAGCCGAGGTGCATCTATCCCGATTTTCCCCACGAGGTCGTCTGCGGCGACGTCTGGCTGGAGAGCAGACTGATCATCGCCACCGAGAGCGGCACGTTCCTCATCGAAGGTAAAAACGTAACGTGGAGTATCTAGGGAATCCGATCATGCGGAATCTAACAAAGAGGCGACGCGAGGCGCGGCCGAGTAATTGGAGCGCCGCTTCGTCGATGAGAAGTGCGAACTTGCACACACGTGGCAAATTAAAAGTCGCGATTAGCAATCGATCGAAGAGCCCGTGCTGCTCTCGTCGATGTCGACGAGGCGTGCGTTTCCCTTTATCGCCGTGAATTGCAAATTCTCCGAAGCTCTCCTGTTCGATTGTTCTCATTCGCGAGATCTGTATTCATAGACACGACTTCGCGAGAGTTAACACGTTCGCTGCCGCGGTTTACGTGGGAAACTCTTTCTGTAGATCATATTATATTTGTTTTTACGCAATTATATAACATAAACACTGAAAATGATCTTTTTACAAATTCTAATTGAACTAATCGACGATTTATTCAGCTGACAGAATTGCCGACAATGGAAAATAAAAAAGAATTTGTTGTTAAAATGAGTTTTTTACTACCGATTTTTCACATACAATAGTAGTTTAAATTTAAATTTATATTTGAACTCTCTGCTTAAACATTCATATGAAATACATTTATATATATGTGTCTTAGAATAGAAATAAAATTTAAATGTAAATTTATATTGCGCGCTATGGAAAAATTAGCCTGTGAAGAGATTTTTATTCCTTTATAATATATATTTAAAATTGATATTAGTCAAATATTAACTATCCTATTCTGCTAACACATATAATTATTAATTTTCTGTCAGACTTATATTTTTAATTTATTGTCAGATAACAAATTACATAGTTAAAAATTACCATTGGTAATTCTGCCAGTTAATCGTCAATTAAACTAATTAGAGTTTAGGGAAAGTCACACATACCTTTAGAAATTTGCAATAATATTTTAAACTTGGATTTAAGTTTAAACTTAAATGTAAAATTAAACTGCTAAAAAATCGGCCCTTAATTTGTGTGAATATACACACTGAAAAAAAGATATTTGGTATATGCGTTCAGTATATGTGTGACGCTAGTAACGAGCATCTTCAAGTTCAGCTATTCCGACGTAGCAATCTCGCGAAAGAATTGACGAAAACAAAATTATTAAAGAAATGTCCTTCATTATTTACGATTGTATATATTATACGTATTTACGATTGTATATATTATACGCCAAATATCACGGATATATCTGTCGTGCTTTAGCTTCGAAGGTAAAATCGCTTCACGGTCGCAGCGAGATTGTTGACTTCAGACCTAAGCCCGGAGTTAAAGGTTGAACGATAAGAAATGTTAGAAAGAATGACACACGTTACGTGTCACGTTAAGTAATCACGCTTCTCTTGCCTCCAGACGGTCTCTCGCACCGGCTGATCTTCGACGAGTCGGTGCAGATCAAGCAGTTGGACGTGGTGGAGCAGCACGGCATACTCCTGTTCCGCGCCGGAGACAAGGGCAAGGAGAGTAGCGTTTATGTGTTTCGGCTGCGCGAGTTCGAGAGCGACATATCCGCGAGGTGCGCCGAGCTGTTCAACGATCGCGAGAAAGACGAGGGCGAGAAGGAGGAGGACGACGACGACGAGGACACCATAATCGCCGACGACGAGGACGAGCGTAACGACGACGACTGCGACGAAGAGGACGCCGACGAGTGCGACAACTTCACCCGCACCACCGCTAAGTTCCAGCCGGTGGGACGTCCGCGCGCACGTTTGCGCGTCCGCGCACCGGCTGTCCGCAGTCGAGCGCATATCAAGGAGAGAAAGCTACGACGCACACGGGGATGCCATTTGTACAGCATCACGCGACCCGGAGGCTCGCATCTACGCATGGTAACGTACAGCCTCGAAAAATTATGCCTCTTTCATTTCTTCACTTAGCAACGACTCCCTAGCCAGAAATAATTCATCGAAACGACGTCCCTTCGACGTCGATGTCGAGAGTTGTCGGTCAGAAATTTGCACTGAAATGTCGGCATTTCCAAGAGAGAGAGAGAGAGAGAGAGAGAGAGAGAGAGAGAGAGAGAGTAACAAAAAGTTGCGTATATATCCAGAAAAATATAGTTTTTATTATATACACAGGATGTCCCAAACTCTCCTCCGCAATTTTTGTGGAAACGTAGAACAAATTGAGGTAAATATAAAAATCTTATACCATTTTGCGATATTTGCAATAATAGTCGAGATATTAATTAAAGAAGATTGGTGAATAATTACGCGTGATATGATAGTTATAGTGGTGATGTGTGCTGTTATAGGTTTGTATATTAGGTTAAATGGAACAAAAAAGCCCTTTACCATTTCGTAAATAACCATGTAGATTTTTAATTATTAATAAAAGAAAATTGTAACATAATTGTACGCGATAATACATTAATCTTCTTTAATTAATATTTCAAGATTTATTACGAATACCGCAAAATGGTACGGGACTTTTATATCCACCTCAATATTTACCTTTATATCTACAGAAGTCAAATGATATCCGATTTGATAATGAAAAATCTTAATAAAAATATATTATAAAATTATATTATCATATACACATAAAATAAAATATGTCGAGCTTTCATTAAACTTTCTGTATACGCTACCTTTTGTTATTAAAAAATGCCTAAATTTCGAAGCAATTTCGAATCGATCGAATTTTCAACATTAACAACGTCGTTTCGACGAATCAATCCTGCTTGAGCCGTGAAATAATGCTGGAATCGAATGGACGTTAAGCTCATAACAGACTAGCTATTGGGAATTACGGATAGTGAATTGAAGATTGGAACTTGACCAAATGAAATAAGGCAAGCCAAGATTGAAATTAGTTGATTTGTCAAACTTTAATACCTAATCCACGATCCTCAATCTCCAAGAGAAATACGTGTTTTGAAACAGAAACGAGTCCGCTGCCAGCGAGAATAATTACTCCCATAGGAAGAAATAGCAGGAAAGTCCTTCGTGCAAAATTCGATTCATTTTTTGATTCCACTTATCCGCGACTGTCGTAAATGTCGCGTATATTCTGTGTAATAAATTAAGATTATTATAATAATTTAATTAATATAATTAACTAATAATTAATTACTAATTTAATTAAAAATGTGTGCACGGTGAAAGTCATAATATACGCAGGTAACGAACTTGCGATCCATCTGAATCATTGATACAATAATAATATAATATATAATATATAAAAAATATATAATATAATATAATTATATTAATATTTAACTATATTACATATTTTTCAATATATTTTAATATTATGTGTATAATATTATGTGTTTAATATTATGTTCAATATAATATTTCAATATAATAATTTAATATAATATGATATAATATTTTTACGTATATGTCGATAGTCTGTAAGCTCGGAGAAAAACTGATTATTTAAAATTCTTTTCAATATTCTATTCGAATAGAAACGTTTTTCTCTATATTACATTCGAATTTTCTTTCGGTAATTAAGGTAAATGTCCCAATGACCGAACTAATAAGAAAGCACGATCAGTTTGGCATTTTTATTAATAAATAATTAATGAAGTTACTAAGAAAACTAATACATAAAATCTTGATTTATCGATTGAAATATAGAAAATAAAATAATCAATAAACATTAATCTAATTTTTATGAAATTTTAGATATAATGCCGGTAGAGTATACCGGCAATTGAACTGAAAAATTAATCATGTCATTCTAACTGTCGAATAATGCAGACTCAGTAATTGAATGATCATGAAAAAATATTACAAATTAGCATAAAGAAAGAAATTTTTTGACAAAATTTCAAAGGCTCTCTTAGAAAAATTAAATACAAATAGACGATTAAGGCAAAGTTCCACAACATCCGTTTAATTTTAACTACCAGTTAAATCCTAATAGTGATTGGTTAATTCTGATTAACTCTTCTTAATGTCAAATGCGATTGGTCAAGTTCAATGGAATAACTAGCCAGTTAAGTTGACTGGAGGTTGCGGAACTGGGCTTGATACTTTGATCATTGGGACAAGATTCAATTATTGGGACATTTACCTTATCATCGACGCGAAATATGCGTAACGACGCATGATCGATGATGATGGTGCGAAACAGTGCGTGGTCGTCGGCCGCCGACTGACGGTCCTTCAGTGGAAGCACAACGCAGCCTGGACCATCTGGTGCTCGGCAGCCGACACCGACACTGTCGACGGTTTCCTACTTATCAAGGAGTTCACGGCGAGCGAGACACCCTCGTTGGTCACGATGATCGAAAGCACCGATCCGTCGAACGAGTGGACACTGTGCTGCGGCGCCCGTCATCACTTTGAGCTGATCTCCGCCACCGGGGCCTCGAAGATAGTCCACATGGAGGCGACGGCCAAGCCGCACCTAGTGGCAGCGTTGGACCTTCGCGAGGACGAAGAGCCGGAACTGTTACTTTGTTACAACAGTAAGTCGCGGTCCTTAACCCAAGATAACGATCCCCGAGATCAATTCGCAAATCTCTTCTTGACTCTCGTGGCGAACAAGATATTTATTAATCACGTAGATTACGCATTAAGGGGTAATTGCGGTTTAGATATACGAAAGAAAATGGGAGGTTCTTGCAAATTTTTTTCAAAGAAATGAATATTAATAATAGCAATTAAATAAAATGAAAAATTAAATTAAATTAAATTAAATTAATAATGAAAATTGAATATTAAATTTAACGAATATTAGTGTAAAACTACTATTTATCATGATTTATAAAAGCATAAAAAAAATTAGTTTTGTATTTTAAAAAATGGGAATTGCATCGTACGTTTTTATATTAAACGTGGAGTCGCCGGATGCCTCTAACTAGTTGACAATACTACAGCTCATATAATAATTTGAAATAAATGGGACAAGAACATTTAAAAAATTATCAAATTTGTTGGAGAATAAATTTTTGTTTTATACAAAAATTTAACAAAATATCAGCACTTCAAATTTATCATTTATATTGATCAAATTTGTTGGAGAATAAATTTTTGTTTTATACAAAAATTTAACAAAATATCAGCACTTCAAATTTATCATTTATATTGATCAAATTTGTTGGAGAATAAATTTTTGTTTTATACAAAAATTTAACAAAATATCAGCACTTCAAATTTATCATTTATATTGATCAAATTTGTTGGAGAATAAATTTTTGTTTTATACAAAAATTTAACAAAATATCAGCACTTCAAATTTATCATTTATATTGATCAAATTTGTTGGAGAATAAATTTTTGTTTTATACAAAAATTTAACAAAATGTCAGCACTTCAAATTTATAAATCGTTTTTCTTTTTCTCTTTCTTTTTTATTTAGTATTGTAATAAAAGGAAGTAGGCTCAAGCAAAACAGTTTTCAAAACGTACAGTAAGATCGTGTATTCTTGAAACGGTCAATACAAATTATACGGTCTAGGACGGACCTCCGTCCTTGCGTCAAAACTCGATATTTATATTTCGTCAAATTGTTTCCCTCCTTTCGCACATATGTTTACCAAGTTAGTTAGCTATTGACTTTTGTGTTTGGCATACTACAGTATAAAAAGTAGTAAGAGGAAAAATAGTAGAAAAAATATTAATTTTAGAAATTTCCCAAAGGATCTAAATTCATCCTCCAGCAAATTTAACACAATTAAATTTCCTTGTCCCGTTTGTTTTAGATTATTACACGAGCTTCGGATTAATGTCCATCAGTTAGAAGCATCCAGCAACACTATGTTGAGCACAAAAATCCTTAGAGAATTTTCAATTTTTAAAAAATAATTTTGTTATAGTTCAAACAATAATAAATAGTATGGTCAAAAGTTTATATTGACATCTTTGTTCATTTCTTTGAAAAGAATTTGTAAAAATCTATTTTTTTTTGGTTATCTACTATTTTTTGGTTATCTAAAGACTCCCTTTTAATTCGTAACGTTCTATCTCAATAGATCGAAAAGCACAATCAGCTTTAACGTCTGATCTGTCGACCAAACCAAAATTCTCGATGTTATGTTAACAATATTTTATTGTTTTTTATGCAATTTTCTTATTATTTGTTTTTTATGCAATATTCTTCTATTAGGTTTGTGCAAAAGATTTGACATTTTTCTGTTGAATTCTCATAGAAAGTTTAAGAGAAGGTTCTACTGTAGAGATCCAAAATTTATGTACTTTTTACCAATTTTTTCATAAGGAAAGGAAAGAGATATCAAAGTAATACTTTTTGCATTATGTTTTTTATATTTCAACGTACAAAGGAAATTTTTTTATTTTTAGAAATGTAGAAAATTGCGGTTGTAGCTTAGGGATACATCAGAGCGTGCAGCGCGTACGTGGTCAATTGGTGGGAAATTTTGGCTATCGACAGTTTATCTAAGACAAATAAATCAATAAAATTATTAAAATGTATTAAATTACTGAAGCCATGAACTTCATTTCACTTGAAAAATTTGAAAATATACAGAATGGCAGCCATTTGAAATTGTCAATTTTCACAAACTTTTTTTTATTTTCAACCTGTTAAAAAAAATAGTTATTTTGGAAAATTTATAGCATTTTTAGGTTCATGACCCCAAAAATTGTCTATTTTACGTAGGAAAAAACTTCAAGTCAATCGGATGATTAAAGCAGTACATTTCCCGCCAGTTTGAAAAACGTGAATTTGAGAAAAACGTGTTTAAAGTTTTACTTTATGATAACTTTTAGTTAACTACAATATTTTGCAATTTACATTTCATCAGCGATTCCTGACCCATACATCAATCTTTTCTCCTATTCGAAGAGCAAATTTTGCTGCATTAGAGCACTTCTTCTTTTATTTCTTGCTTGTTTTGCTAAGCTCGACATTTGTAATTCTGCTGCGTCGATGCGATGTCTATCTAATGACGATTCCTAATGTGTTCATTGTCTTTAGAACTGATGAATATCCTTCGTTAAATATATTTATTGCCAGACAAGTCGCGATTTCGACAGTTTTAGAGGCACAGTGTAAATGTTTTGGAACAAATTTCCAAACACACGCATTCAGACTTTCGTTGGAGTTTTGTGTATTTGCTCCGATACATCGCTGCAGCAAATCATCATTGGAAAGGGCTTCGTATATTTGCTGAAGGACTCTCTGCACATTTTCATAAACATCGCGCGCGTAGTACCGTTCAGTTCACTTAATTTTCACTCGGTGCAAAATCCGGTTCAACAAGTCATAAATTGCTTTAACATTTTGAATATTGCAAAACCCTTTTACAGGCATATTATATACACTTAGAGATGCAAAAAATGTAAAAATAAAAAAATCGATTTTTTTAATACTCAAAAGTGGAACCTCTCTTTAAATTTAGGAGGAAAATAGTAAGTCCTTGTTAGACATCTAAAAAATAACTAGCCATTATTATTTATTTTATTTTTTAATCTTGTTAAAATTATCGAAAAGAATCTTTCGAAATTGGACAATTTTGTCTTCTATTTTATTTGACAAACAGGACAAACTTCTTTTGCAACTTGATACCTGATAAAATTCACCATGACGTGGTGGTCAACATGCGTTAACGAATGATAACATAATTTTTGATGTTCCGGATTAAGAATGAACGACGATACTGCGTGAATGTATTGATATTTAACGAGTTCTGTCCCTCAGATACGTGTCACTTTCAAAAACTGGCGGAAGAAAATGCTGCGCCGACCGAGTTCGACTTCAATTGGAATTCGGTGCCGACAGCCGTAGGTGCGTCAAGTAAAAAAATCTCTGATTCATTACACATAACATTTAAACGATGCAATGCTCCTTCTCTAACGGATAACGTCTGTCTGTTAATCGCAGCCTGTGCCTTTCCATACGTGATTGCCTTCACTGACGACACGATGGAGATCCGTCTGATAATAAACGGCAACCTGGTACACACGATCGCCATGCCGAACCTCAATCTGATCACCTCGAAACGGGATATCTTCTTCGCGACTACCGCGCCGGAGTTCCTCCCGGGAAAGTGCGAGCGAATTCGCTTGGACTCGAAACCCTCAGAGAAGGAAGAGATGCCTTGCAGCCCGCCGCCCTCCGCGCAGTCCTCGTCGTCCTCGCGATCGTCCTTTCAAGGTACGTAAATCCATTTCTTTTTCTCTATTATGCTTTCTAAAGTATCAATCAGAGTGTATTTCTCACCAAAATACTATATTTTTAAGTGGCTCAGTTATAAGCGTAGAGAGCACTGCTATCAGTAATAAATCTCGTTGAAGAGATCAGTTAAGTAATAACGATGTTATATTAAGAAAAAATATTTAGTATTTATAATCATAATCACATAGAGAAATAGTTACTATAAATTATGGTAAAGTTACTATAAATTATGGTAGATATTTTTTTCATTAAATTCTACTATTCTAATATAATATTAATGATAATAGTCTTATATGCATGTTATTATTACCATTTACGTGTTAGAACAACCTAAAAATATGGTTAGGCCCAAAAATAACTATAATTTCACTTAGATCGATTTTTTTCTTTCAATGAATAGCGATTATTCCCATTATTCATGCATTTTGCAAATATTTTACAAACAATGTCATTGTACGCAAGACGCATGGAAATCGTTAATTCCATCGTCACAAACGCAGAAAGTTGAATTTGCTACAGCGTATAACAGATTTGTGTATTACAGATTTTACATACCAAAAGAAAAAAGTTGATCTAACTAAAATGATAGCTGTTTTTGGCTTCAACCATATTTTTGTTAGTTCTAACACAAAAATGATAGTAATAACATACATATAAAACACATATTATCGCTAACATTATAGTAGAATTCAATAAAAGAAATGGTTTTCTTGACCATATAATTTATAGTAATTATTTCTCTATGTGATTATAGTTATACAAATGGGATATATTTGTTCTCACTTCCACTGCACTGAGAGAAATTATATAATAAAAAATTAACAAACGGATATTTCCGATCAAAATATCGATGAATTTTTGTATCCAATCAGGAAACATCCGATGAGAAATATCGATTCATAATTTTTTGATCAGCTTATTTGATGAAATATCACTATGATCAGAAGTACACGATTAAATTTAATGGGATATCCTGATCGAATATAAAAATTCTTCGATATTTTGATCGAAGATATTCGTTTGTTAATTTTTTATAAGATAATTTCCCTCAGTCAAGATCAGCGAGGTGCAAGACGGAGTAGTAAAGCGCGAGTATTTTCCCCGAAGTGAGTACCTACTGTTTATCGATGAAGCAGTCCTCTTACTGATGATTCGATCAGGAACGTTTTTACTGATTCACTTTAAGAGAGTAAAGCCGAAAATCCCTCTCCAAACGAGATGAACCTCCCTTTCACAGGCAGCCAGGCCGACTGGAAGCCGATAAGGATTTACCGGATACCGCTGCAGACGCTGTCGAGGAGCCCAGCGTCCACCAACTGCAACCAGAGATGTCCGAGTCCGGCGGAGCCGGAAATCGTCTCCGCGCCACCCACCACTGACAGGACCTTCTTGAACGTCGAGCCTCAACGTATAGTGAGCAGATCCTGCAGCAGCAGTCCGACGCCCACACCGACGACGAATATGCCGTCGCCGGGTAGGAAATAGACGGCGTGCGTATCTCGCACCTCCGCGAGGCGAACGAGCCGATCATTTACCGACAGACTGACGACCGCGAACAGTCCACCGCGCCGAGAGCGGTGTGTTCGATCGCCGTGAGATCGATCGCGAGTAAAACCGACCGCACGTACCTGATTACTCGTTCCCGTACGAGAGAACACGTGAGAAACTTCTGTCGCTGTTATATGCTGTAAGCGCGATCGCGCACGCAACTTATTACTCGGATACATTCCAACTGGGGCGCGTGTCGACGCCTTAATTACGAAGTTCGTGGCTGATGGCTTTTCTTCCCTGTTCTTTTACTTCCCGAGATATTTTCATCTCGACATTTCGTTAATATTGTTCAGCTTTATTTATCGTTTATTGCGATACTACACGGGTAATGTTTATTTTCTATGAATCTTAATGTTGACAAAAAATATAAACGCGACGCACATTATATAATTAATTACTTAACTCAACTTTGATCTTGTTTTCCATTAATGTTATTATTTTTTTGCTTTATTAATTATTTATTACGATATCACACGTGGTATATATAACTTCAAAGAAATACAAACACGACGTTTATTGCATGACTAACTGCTTCATTCCAGTTTTATTTTCTATTAATTTCGTTATTATTGTCTTACATTATAAATTGTTTATTAGTATACCAACCATTACATTTATTTTCTATTGATTTTAATTTAAAAGAAATACAAATATGACGCATATTGCACGATTAATTGCTTTATTATCCAGTCTAATTTTTTAATTTTCGTTATTATTATTTTACTTTATGAATTGTTTATTACAATATTATTTTCTATTAATTTTAATTTAAAAGAAATATAAAAGCGACGTAATTACGCGATTAATTATTCAGCATAATTTCAATTTCAATCAAGAATAATCTCTCTCTCTTTCTCTCTCTCTCTCTCTCTCTCTCTCTCTCTCTCTCTCTCTCTCTGCAACAGTTCTCTTCTTAATTTTAATTAATTTTTTCCGATGTGATATACAGCACGTTAAGCTTCAAGGTAGCTCAAGGAGAACATTCCGCGAGATGTCGACTCTCTCCATCGGGCTGGATCGATTTGATCTCGCGCGTCGCCCGTAATTAAGGGGTTAACGACGCGATCGCGACGATACTTTAAAGAGTTTTCGCTTCTGGATTTTTCTAAGTGATGCCGTATATTGTCCACATACAGTTCCTCGCTCGTTGTTTCAAAACAACAAGTACTTTTGAGCAAGGAACCGGACGAACGACCGTGACGGTCGACGCCGAAGAGCGTTTCCGACGCATGATTCGGCATTGCGAATCGAACTTTACGCATTTACCTTACACACATACACGCACACATACACACACACACACACATAAACGAGAAGGGCATTTTCGAGATGCGCGCTCGCTCGATGAATCACGCGTTCCTTCGAACGTAGCGGAGGCACGCGGAGAATGTTGTCGGAGGCGACCGTATTTGCCGATCGAATCCAGAGGATCAGGATCGTCAAGCCGCGCATCCGGACTTACATATATTTTTATTTCATAAGAATGTTGTAACAGCGTGTTGGAGTGGGGTGAAGGAGGAGGGCAAGCAGAGTGGGGGATGGAGTTATCGGAACATTCCGACCTGCTCAAGTGTCAAGATGTGTCACACATGTATATATATATATATATATATATATATATATATATATATATATATATATATATAATATAAAATAACGAAAATAAAGTCTATGTTACCATTGTGTTTCCACTGAATATAGACGACATGAGGCAGTGCTCCTCTTCTTCGCCATTTTTTGCGCCCTCTCCTCCCCTCACCTTCGAGTGCGCGCTCTGATCTGCAATTTCGAAATAATGTCCGGTCACATTCGACAGACTTCACACATTCGATTCTTTCGTGTATATTTTACAGATGTATGTTGCTACTGTGTAATATATAGTATATATCAGTTGACTGAATCATCACACCTTTCTCCCTTTCTCTCTTTTTCCCTCTCTCTTTCTTTCTTTCTCGTTTTCTTCCTTTGAAAATAACTTTCCTAGAATAGTTCGTAGTTGCGCTTGGCCTCGATAACGATAATGCAACTGATTACGCGGGAAATATATCAGCTCGTTATACCTCTATCGAGTATTCTGTATTGCGAATTTTTCCTAGCTTCGCGTTATCGATAGTTTGCGATAATGAAAATTTACAAAGAACAGAACGCTTATAAGAAAGATTGCGGGTCGCTTTTACTTTCGTCGTATCGCACGAGGTATTGAACGTCGCGATGGATAAAGTTTCCATGTCTTGATCGACCGGCTCGATCAACGCGGTCGATCAACGAGAATCGATCGCGATCGCGGGGAGAGAGCAAGCCGCGGTCAGACTGGAGCATTGAACCGTGACGATTTTCGTTTGTCCGACACGCGTTTTGCGAGAGATTGCCAGCGGCGGATGCACGTTCCATCGCACTACGAATCGCAGGTACACACCGTGAAATACAATTAAATCAAAACTACAGATTCGCCGCCGCTCTTTTAACCGGAAAAACCGCAGACGCGCCGGAGAAATCTCTCGATTGACTGGAGCACACAGCCATTAACGATAAACTGAAATTCCTTCCCTTGCAGACGTCCAGAGTCTCACCGAGATATACTAGTGAGAAAGTCGCTATGCAACGCGGTATCTCAAATACGCTGTATGGTAAACGATATTCGCGTTTAACCCGTAAAAGTGAAGATCGAACTGACCCAACGCATAAACCAGCAAACGTTTCTCTCTAATGAGACATATAAAATGAATTATTTACAAGTATATTTCTTTGAAGTATGCGTGAAAAAAAAATTGTATCAATAAAAATCGCGTCGTAATTACACCGAGAAAAAAATATCTAAAAATTAACAAATATTTATTAGGTGGGTACCGCTGACACATTTACTCAAATCAAAATTTTTTCATTTAAACCGAGTGTTGTTTACTCAATTTAAGTAAACAACACTTAGTTTAAATGAGGAAAATTTTTATTTAAATAAATAAGTAAATATGTAATGTGTGATACCCACCCAATAAATATTTGTTAGTTTTTAAATATTTTTTTTTCTCAGTGTAAAATAAATCTAACAATTCTATATAAAGGCTTTTCAAAGTATACAGTTCAAGTTAAACATATTTTAGGCCAGTAAAAGCCGAGCTCAAATGTTGGAGCGAATATTTTTGCTAAATGTTGGGAAGATAATAATGTTTGACAGTGTTGACGCACGTGACGAGTAGCTTTTTCAGTTTTCGTAAAGCGCTTCTATCTACAATAGAAGTTGTAAAGTCGTAATTTGTAGAAATTGACCAATCACGATCGATTATTCTTCTCATACTCGATCGCAATTGGTCAATTTCTATGACTTACGACTCTACGATTTCTATTATAAATCCCGCTTAACGTACGCGGTGAATGAAACTTTCCACGTCAAACTGACTTTGAATCCCAATTGTTAATATTAATATTAATTATTCCTGTTATATAAATTCCATAATTTAACATTTATTTATTCAATTAAAGTTGCGTAAAATACTGTCCCAGCCAGAAGAATAAATCTTCTTGTTTCAACGGCAATGCTATTGAAACTAATACTTGAGTCATCGAAATAATATATGATGTATTGGTTTTAATGACATTGCTATTAAATCAAAAAACCTATTTCAATTACGGCAAAGTGTATTTTTTTGCTCAAATATCTTTTTACTGAAAAATAACATTCAAGAAATTGCAGTGTGTCGTTTCTCGTTTCTGTAACATCGCAATTTAACATGGCCGAGGCAACGAGTACCCAGGAGCCTTCAAACATATCTTAGCTTATTACAGATAATTACGAAACAAAAATAAAATGGTTGTACGATTACTTAAAGGTTAACGCAAAGCGACTGAAGCACACGACAGTGTTTGACTTCCCAAATCACGTTGTTGTTTGAACTGAACACTGAAAGAAGAATTTCGTAACAAGTATCAAAACTTAGTAATTGTTGCTAAATTATTCAATAATAATTCAGTAATAATGCGAGCTAAAATGATAATTAAGAAATAATTTAGTTGTATAAAGCAAATGTATAATTCTCAGAACCAAAATTTAGTTGCTTGAACTATATATTTAGGTCACTAAATTAGATTGTGGAAGTTTAATATCAAATCTTGACAGCAGAAAAGGAGATATTTGGTAACTATTACGAAAATTTGGAGTTTAGGCAATTTTTTTTATCTTATTTAACAAGTCTCATCGTACTATTTAAACTATTTTAGGATATGTATTTTTTAGTTTTTACACTGACGTTTTTTATCGTTTTATACGTGAAGTTCGACCTCATAGGTTTTCTCAGAACTCGATCATCCGATGTTTTATCTCATGATCGAACAAAAACTGGTGAATTCTACGAGTTATAACGATATCTGTGTACTCATGCTTGCTAATATATCCTTATAATTTTCAAGAAACATGGCAATGCCATCTTTAGTAAATATCCCAGACAGCACAAGATCTCCTGAGAACGTCCTAAAGACGTCCTGAGGACGAAAAAAAGTCCTCAGAACTTCCTCAGGATGTATTCTGGATGTCCCCTGGACATCTGTACTGTTAAGGATAGTAAATATTGTAATAAATATTGTGTAGTACATTTATGTAATAAATATTGGAAACAACACAACTACAGTCAATATGCGATGAATCGAGTAAATATTAATAGATCATACATATTAATAGAAGTACAATTGAAAATCATCAAATGTATTTCGTTACCTTAACAAGATAAATATTAATAGTTATCAAATATTTTATTAAATGGAATTGAATGATTTCATGACTTATCAAATATCCGATAGTAGTTATCAAATATTTGGTATATTAAATATTTAGTAGCTATTACTAAAAAAAATACAAAAGCCATTTGACTGTGATTAAAAATCCATCGTACATAAAATCTACTACATTTGGTTATATATATTTATATATAGTATAATATTTGGAATTAGTTATCGAATTTTTACTTAAATTTTGCAACTAAACACATTTAGTAATAATTAATCTTTTTTCAGTGTACAAAGTATCCATAATCGCGTGAAAAATCTCCCTATTTTTGAGCGTCAGAGCTATCATATGATTCGCAACCGGACATTCCGACATGTATGTGTGTGTGTGTGTATGCGTGAACATAAGGACGCCACGAGCGTACGACCACCGATCAGCCGGTCGCCATGTCGGCCGGCGAGAGCGGCTACGAAGGCGACGTCAACGCAACGCGTCGCGTTGCGTGCGTGCGTGCGTGCGGTACGTTGCGTCGCGCCGTGCTGCGCCGCGCCGCCTCGCGTCGTGTCAAAGGCGACCGTCGGCGGTGTCGGCATCGCGCGACGGTGTACTGTACTATCGGTCACCGCGCGAGACGCCAGGAGGGGAGGAAAGAGAAAGAGACAGAGACGCAGGTACGACGGCCACACACACGAAAGGCTCTCGCGGAGAGAGCGAGACGGAGCGGGCGGCCGCGCGGGACGGCGAGAGGGGGCAGCAGGGCGAGAGAGAGAAGAGAGAGAGACAGTCGAGCGCGAACTCGTGGTGTGTGGAGAGGTGCCACCAGCCGGAGAGCCAGCGGAGACGGAGAGTCGGAGGTGGCCCGTGCCTGTGGCTACCCGTGACCGCCCGTGGCTCGCTGTAACTACTCGTCTGTTGTAACGTGACGCGAAGGTGCGTGTGGGTCCCGAGGTTCGTTCGCCCGTTACCTCTCTGTCGAGAACGTGGCCGACACCGCGCGTCCACCGGGAGCACAGCAGCGCGCGCGAGGTGCTTTCTGCCGCCGCCGTCTCTTTCTCTCTCTGTTCCTCGCTCCTTTCCTCCTTTTCTCTCTCTCTCTCTCTCCTTCCCTCTCTCTTTCTCTCGTTCTCTCTCTGTTGTTCCTTTTCTCGCGCCGTCTTTCTCTCTCGTGTACGCGAGTGTGATCAGTACAGTGCGACCAGTGCGACGTGATACGTTCTCGCTCACGGGTCGTCCTTTGCTATATTCGCGCGATAGGATAGGTGTCTCGCTGCTACGGAGCGAGTCATCGTCAAAAGACTGTCAAGAGTGCCTTATACTGCTTGATTCTCGGGCTGTTTCGTACGACACGACACGACGCGACGCGACACGACACGACACGATTACGTTCGCCGTCACGGCGAGATCCCGGGACGGAGAAGAGGAGAAAGAGCACCGCGGCGTATTGGACGACGAGGTAAGAGCATCCACGGCTTCCCGCGCCCCGAAAGCGAGGCTATCATATACATTAAAGCCCGTTCGCCGTGCGAGTCGAGAGCACGGACGTACGGAGGTTATGTTTCCCGATGACCCCGCGACTCCCCCTCGCGCCTCCCCTTGCTCTTCTCTTCCCCTTCCCATGATCGCCCTCTCCTGCTTCCTCGCCACTTGCCCCCTCCCTCTCTGTCTTTCTCTCGGCGTCCTTCTCGTTGTCTTCCCCCTTCTCCTCTCCTCGCCTCTCTCGTGTACCTCGTTCCCTCTTGCTCTCTCTCTCTCTCTCCCTCCTTTATCTCTCTTCCTCTCTCGCGTTCTTTTTCGTCGTGGACGTCGAAGGAAAACGCGACGTGAACGCGGAGTTTCGAGATTCCCGGCCGAGGTGTTCCGTATGTATCCGCGAGCGATCGAATCGCGCACCTGGCAGCGATTTTCTTCCGACTGCTTGGACGTTCTCTTTCTCTCTCTCTTTCTCTATCTCTGTCTCCCTCCGTATCTATCTTTCTCCACTGTGCCGCGCACGAGAGTGCACGCGCGAAGTTCGCAACTCAGTGGAGATGTGTCTAACTCACTTCAGCGAGTATATATACGTCTCGTGTTTCTTTCGCACGTTCTGTCTTTTCTCGCGACACAGTCGCTTTCGTAATCTCTCTCAATACTGAGTTTCGCGAACTGTCAGCTGTCACAGCCGCCATAACCATACCACCTGTCCTAAAACTTAAGCGCGTGTGCGTGCCTCTATCTCTCTTTCTTTCCATCTCGCTCTGCCTTTCTCTCGGCATCTCTGTCTCTCTTTCTTTCTATTACCCATACGCGGCTCTCGAGCATTAAATTGCGATTCCGCGAGCGTTCCATGGCTCCTCGCCGCGGGTTAGGCTAACACACGATTTCCCCTCGAGAAAGGCGCGTGTTGGAGTCGTAAGAACGGCGATCGGCGCACGCTAGCTCCTAAGTAGAAAAGGCTTGTTGATATTTCGGCGCGCAGGCTTTCTGGCATGACAGCGCGACCGGCCTTGAGCCCCCCCCTTCCACGTGTCGCCCCCCTGCGCGCGCGCGCGCTCTTCCTTCGTATCCCTACTACAGGCGCACTGCACGATACTCTATGGACCAGTGTCGCTCAACCCGCGGCACCCGCACCCTATTCAATTCACGCAGCTTGCTCGATTTCTACATGTCGCGGTTTTTCTGTATGCGCAATTACGCGATTTCTGCACCTTTGAATTTTAGCTCAGCGTAAGCTGAACTCCTTTCGCAGCGCCTGTACAGCGATAATTGTACTCAAACGCGTTATTTGCTGAATGATATCATACACTGGGAGAAAAAATATCTAAGAAATCGCGATAGGAGTATTAACAACTTACTTATACTAATATAAAATATTTTTCGAATAAGAAAACATACATTTTTTTCAGAACCTCAAGAGAACTCTAGCTTTTCGCAAAAACAACTGTTTATTCTATTTAAATAAAGAAAGATAGATTTAAGTCAAAATGTTTATATTATTATAAAATAAAAAAAAGTATTTACTATTTTTTAAATATTTGTCCTCATTGTGTAGCTTTTCGTGTATGTATTTCGTAAGTTATAGAACCTGTTATTTTCAAATGAATTGATATCGCAGTGAACTATGTTCCTTTTCCACGCTAAGTTATGTACTTTTATCACTCTAGAGGCAAAAAGTGCAATCTAGTTCAACCAGAACGAATAAATACAGATAATTATAGCACGAATAGCAATTTTCATATACGACAAACAAAACTCAAATTTCGAACGTCGATATCTTGGAAACTACAGAATGCAACCTGACTACACAATCCGGCATAATAGCCTTAATATTTTATAACCCTGGTTCCAAACAAATTTTTTCGATTACGCGCAACATGCTCACCCATTCGTGCATCGTAACTCGAAACGAACAGTCATGATGCAAGAATATGTGCATATATTGCGCGTAATCGAGAGATTCATCGTTTTTGCAAGATGTTGAGGCCATTATACCGGGTTGTGTGCCGCGCGTTTGCCACTTGAACTTGGAGTGCAACGCACGTACTGGATTCATGGATCAGGGAGACGGGCGTCAGTCTCACCTCGCGGCGGAGGCCTCGCCGCAGGAGCACCGCTGCTCCTCACGAGCCGCGAGTCCCGCTCTTTTTCCTCTCGTTCTCTTTCCCTTGATCTTTCTCCCTCTTTCCCGCAGGTTCCCGATCCCGATCTCGTCTCATCGCGACGCGTCTCGTTCGGAGCACTCGGGGCCCTCCTCTCCTTTCTCTCGCAGCGCGCGCGCGGACGCGAAATCGCCGCCGAATCGCGTCGAGCGGGCGTTTCTCAAGGTAGGAGAGTAAGTGACCGAGAGATCGTGAGCGCGTTAGGGTCCGGCGGAGCTCGCCGGAGTTCGGCGGCGATTGAAGGAGCCACGGAAGAAGAAGAAGAAGTAGGGACGGGAGAGGAGAGGAGAGGATAAGCGGGAGGGAGGATGAGATGGGGCGCGGGGGACGGGCGAGAAAATCGCTCGCTCACTCACTCGCTCGTTCGCTCGCGCAGTTCTCGACGGAGAAAATGAAACGCGAACGAATGGACGCGGGGCGTTAGCCTGTAGCGGTATACAAACGCGCACGGTGGAGCGATCGCGACAATGGTATCGGTACCACCGCGGCTGATACACAGCGGCCACGACGACGACGACGACGACGACGACAGCGACGGGGACGGACGAGACGAGACGAGACGCGAGGCGACGCGGACGCGACCGTCGTCCTCTCGTCTTGGATGGGCCGAGATCGAGCGCTCTACCTTGACGGCTCCACCTACGTCGCGCGGAGCGGCAAAGTACTTCGCGCGGCATACTCGCCTTTCGCTTCGCTGTATCCTGGTATACAGGGTGTCCCGGAATTCTTAGCCAAAGGGTGTCCAGGGAAGGTATTATGGAATTAGTCGGATAGAGACAGGTGTGTGGAAAGTTGACAGCAATTTTATTAATCGATTTGTAAAAGTTGCGTCCCCTATAATAGATGGCATATGGCCACCGATACTCATATTACACAAAATGACAAAATAAAAGTGCGAGAGAAATATGAGGAATATAATCAAAATATACTCAAGACGATATATGATGTAAAATTTAACATAAAAATCTGAATATAACTTTTAGTAAATCTGTCGTTGCGGCGATATAATAAAAGATCTACAATATTGCGCGATGTAAATGTAATGATCGATTTTGTACAGTATATTTGCTTCATTTATATGATGAAAAAAATTGGAAAGTTCTCATCATTAATTATCTCTCACGTTGTGATAATCATCGAAGTCTGTCCAGACACCCAAATAAACAGTTGGACGAAGATATACTAGCAACTTTATTATTCGTTTTATAAAAGTTGCACTCCTTATGATTAATAGCATATGGCACTCATATTTATTAGATAAAATGTTAAAATGAAAGTACGAAAGAAATTATCAAAATTTATTCAAGATATTACGTGTGATATAAAATATAATATAAAAATTTCAATATAACTTTTAGTAAACTTATCGTTGCATCGATGTAATAAAAGATTTACAATATTGTGTGCTGTAAATTTAATGATCAATTCAATATAGTACATTTATCAAAATTAATTGAAAACACTATGTGATATAAAATACCGCGCAAAAATAAGTTAACTTTTAGTAAATGTGTTGTGACACTAATTAACATAAAAAAAATATAATATTGCATGATGTAAATTTAATGATTAATATACAACATAGTATTTGCTTCATAAATATAATTTTTTAAAAATCAAGTTTCTATCATTTATTACCTCACATCGTGATAATCATCAAAGTCTATCTGAGTACCCTGATAGATGGGAGTATGAAAATTTTACAATTTTATTAGTTAACACTAAAGATTGCATTATGGGTAGTAACGTATGGGGCTCAATTTATTAAATAGAATGATATAATGAAAGTGCGAAAGCAATATGAAAAGTATGAAAAAATGACTAATATTTACTTAAGATACTATGTGATGTGAAATATAACAAAAATTTGAATGTAACTTTCAGTAAAAAATTATTGTTGAATTGATATAATAAAAAAATTAAGATATTATATCATGCTAGTTTAATAATCACTTCAGTATAGTACATTGACTTCACAAATGTAATTAAAAAGATTGTAAAGTTTCCATTATTGATTATTTTACGTCGTGATAATCATGAAAGCCTAAGTTCTCAGAAATATTTCTAATCTGAATCGTACAATTTTTTATTCTCTGGGATTTCTCTATTGCGTTTTCTAGGAGAAACGGAGTAATTTCGATCAGAAATCTTTCCGAAAGAGTTTCATGATGATGAATACACAGAATTAATTGTCGGCAATTTTTCAGCCGAGTTTTCCTCAATGGAACAACCGCCGAACGTTTATGGATGATGCATCGAACATGCGCGATCGTCACGAGATCGCCAAAATGTTGATTATTTATTGCAAAGAGTATATCGAATATCGTCGACCTTTAATCAATATGACTTGTCGATCTCTCGATCCTGTTTTCCCGCGGCGAAGCCAGTCGGCTCTCTCGATTATCGCGCTCATCGTTGACGAAGCGCGTTTGCGTAGCGCGGCGACAGGATGAATCGTCGATGTCCTTCAGCGGAAAAAAAAGAATCGGCGCGGTCGATTAGATTAAGAGAGCCTCGGCAAACGTGCGTCTTTGCGTCCCACGTATTAACGCACGCGTGTATGTGCGTGCACGTTGCATTTGCGCGTTGCTGCAACGAAACAACGAGCGGCGTGCCGCGCCGGTGCGAGTGAAACGGCGAAAGTCCGCGTTGCACCCTCGTTTGACCGCTGTTTTTTTCCGCGCCGCCGGAATGATACGAAAGGTCATGGAACGCTTAGAAGAACTTTCTCTGCGTTTGGTGGTCGTTAGACTCGCGCGCGCGCGCGCGCATGCCAAGTAAGACTATATTTACCTCGCCGACACGTCGTGCAAAATGC